AAAATGAAATTTTTTTCTTTGTTTCACCTAATAAATTATAATTAAAAAAGAAATTAAAAGAAATTGAACAGATGTTTAACATTTGACAAAATATCTATGCCGTTCACTTTAATGGATGTGCATAGTCGATTTCGATTCAAAATAGAAGGAATTTATAAAATTTTCATTGCACTATAGTGCAGTGAGTTATAAAGTCTCAGAAAAATGTCAGGTGGAGCCATATATTTTTTAAAAAAATGAGGATATTATTAAGAATTAGATGGAAACTATAAATAGGTTTTAGTGTTACTTTAGAAAAATAACCTTCAAGCTGATGATTTTCATTGATGGTGCGTTCAGGCGTTTAGTCAACAAAGTTGAATCATAATACAACTCCAGCGCCTTACTATGAAATTCGATCTTTGGCAAAAGATAACAATCCTCAAAAATAGTTTCCGATACGTCATCAGACATTTGGCAAATTTCTTCATCGACAGACATAGATTGCATTTCAGTCTCAGTCTGCCTACTTGTTAACCAAAAATCTGGATCATGCTTCCAAAAACTAAAAAGATTTCAATAGCCTAAAATTCTTAAATGAAAAACCTTAAATTTTTATATTTTATATTATATCTTAAATTTTTATATATAATTTTTATATTTATATATACTATATTTTTATATATTTATATTAATATATTCCATGATTTATCTAAACTTCAATTCTTGTCCACTTATATATTTCCTCCAAAAAATTTTTTAAAAATTTTTTTCCAGAAATAAGATCACAAAGAACTAATTAATGTGGTTATAAAAACGTCATCTTACCTTTGAAAGACCTGAAAACCATTATTATCCATAAGTTGAACTGCAATTTGATATATATGGTTCGTGTTCATCATCATACAATTTGATAAAGCAACATGGTCATATGATGAAATTTGTGAATAAAGGACGCCGTTGCAAATATAGATGAATACACTGCTATTCTCTTTTTGAGAAAGAGCAGATATAATACCACCGCTTTCTGACCAATGCGATAAAGGTGAAACTTCGTTCAAAATCTCTATGCTAAAAGGTAGATCGAAACTTTCCCCGTTGTTCCGAGCAATAAATGTCGTAGCTGAAAAAAATTTTTAGAAAAAATAGTTTTATAATACACTATACATTACTACATATATATTAAAATTTCTCAATACCATTTATTGAAAATTATACGCACCATTTGTGGAGACAAAAAGTTGTTGAATAGTGGAAGAAAAATGCATAGAAACTACATTTGCAGATGCAAAAAACATGATTGTATTGGTCATAAAATAAGTTCCTTCTGAAGCACAAGCTTGACTGAGATCCTCGCTATAAACATATCCCGTATTTGATAATACCAGAACTGATACGCTACCAGTTTCATGAGCTACTGAAAAAGACATTTTAATAAAAATCACTTTCGAAAAATAGGATGACCTTTTCAAAAACATTATTTACACTAGAAAACATACTAAATGTAGCATCAATAATTTGACCAACAGGTAGAACGAATTCTTTTTTCACATCATAATTGGGTGAACATAAATCGTAGATTTTTAAATATTGCAAAGTAATTATAGCTACCATTCGCGAATGGTTCAGTGGGACCCACATAATCTAAAAAATGTGTTTCGATCGTGAAATAGTTTAGAAAAATAAAATAAAAATTGATTTATAAGAATAAAAGATGGAAATACCTTGAAAAGATGATCTGTTGAAGAGGATTCAAAAGGAACTGAAATTTTACTCGTGATTTCACCATCTTTATTTAACTGTGCAATCATAAATTGTTGACTGCCACATAATGCCAATATATTCTCTCGAGATGCAACTGAGAATACTTTGAAACCAACTGATTCTCCTGAAGATGTCTGAAAAAATAAAATTATTCAGAATTATACTCGCGTTTTTTTCGATTTCAATTTGCAAAAATTAAAAATGACAAAAAAAGGCAAAATTCACTTGTAAATCAATATCATCTCCGGAAAGACATGAACAAGATATAGCCTGCGTACTAAGCAGGCATATCTTATTCATTTCCATCACAGCGGCCATCATATACTGCGGTCCATTTAAACTTGCGAACTCCATTAAACATAAAAGATTTTGCGAATATTCATTACGCTCAAGTTTTTTTTCAGATAAGGAGCGTTTGGGCCAAACACAACGTTGCTAAAAAAAATATTTAACTTATAACTGTTATCAATCCTTCTTGTTACCATAGCTTCAACCTTCTCAAAAGAAAAAGCGGAATTTAAGCCAAATACTAACCATTAATTTACGTTCACGATTAAAAGTGAGGCCTAGATTATTTTTAAGAAGGCCTGCTGCTATTCGAGATATCTGTGCTTTGTTTGACTTCAGTAAAGAACCATTTTTTATCGATTGTAATAAATTTAGAATTTTTTGGCTTTCACCACCCAGTATGTTTAGAAATTCCTTCTATAAGAAACTAAATAAAGAAATTAAATAAAAAAAGCTAAAATATCTTGTCAAAAACACAGCAATAACAACTGCCTTAATTCTTTTATAAAAAATAAGAAAGAAAATTCTATCATAGATATAACAACCAACTAACCAAGCTCTCCAACAAAGCATCTTTATCCATATTACCTTCACGACATTCGAAACATTCGAACGACCCTCCTTTTCTACGTGATAATTTACGAGAACAATGAGGTTTAGTAGATAATTTCTTTACAATTTTTGTTTGAGTTAATGTGTGTGACACTGATTTTAATGATTCACAGCCTTTTGCACCACAGTCGCAGAAAAAAGACCCGAATTTGCTATAAAAAAATTTCTACCAAATAAATATGGAAACCCATCATTATATATTAAATTAAAACATAAAAACATAAATTATGGAACAAGTATATTATGTATGAGAAAAAAAAAAATCTGTTCCAACTACAGATTTATTCAAAAAATATGAAAAAAAAATAATTGATATAAAAAAAATTTCTGATCGCATTAACCTATAAGATAGATCATGATCTTTGTGACAATTTACGGCACAAACAGAGCATACACCTTCACCATCAATCATGTTACAGGTAAAGCAGTTATACCAATGTTGTTGAACAAAATTCTTTCCAGTAGCAGAATAAGTACATAAGACTGGAGTAGGAGGCATACTCGTTTTGTTCTAAAAAACATAAGAATTCATATGAGAATTTTCAAAAAACAATTCTAAAAATTGATATATTAGCAAATAGTTCACCAAAAAAGGTTAAGTTTTTAATTAATAAAAAGATCAATAAATATGGAAGTTAGATTTCAATGAATGACAAAAGATGATACATATTAAATTTTAATGATATATCAAAAAAGATGAACCGAAAAAAATGAAAGAAGTAAAAAAAGGTTATTTAAAATTATACTTTTATTGGTAATTTCGAAGAAATATCCGCTTCAACGCCATCTTCATAACGCATTTTTGTTGGATTAAGCAAACAACACAAAGCATAAAAGAAATCAAGAATATCACATAATAATAACAAAATATGAACGAGTTTACATGCTTGTTCATCATTTCCATTAATTCCTTCCAGCATCTAAAGTAAAAAAGCGACAAAAATTAATGAATTACTCATAGAAAATCATAGAAAAGAAAAAAATTGCCTAATATTTGCAAAAATCTTAAAGGTAGTATGCCAGTATATAAATAGACCTATTGCAATATTATATAGTAACCTGCAGATCATTCTTGGTGATTCTGCTTAGCAAATCCATAAACAATGAAATACAATTTTTTACGAATTGCGGAAGCGTTTTTTCAAAACCAGCATCCATCATAGTTTGAATAGTAAGACAGAAATAAGCAACATCGGTATTTGTATTAGATCCATAATCATCCTTAAAAATATATAAATATCCATAGATTTTCCGATATGATCTTTTTTTACTCTCTCTTTTCTGGTGAAATTAAACAACAATTGTAAGATTATAAAATATATAATTACAAAATATAAAAAAATTTGAACAAACAAATAACGATTTAAACTTGAAAAAAATCAAATGCACTTACCGAAACATCATGAAGAAGAGCTGAATAAGCCCACCGATCACTACGTTTAGCGGCGACAGGAGAATGAAACATAATATGCTCGAGAGTTGACGAATTAATTATACAGTTAGGTAACATTGTAGCTAACGGCTCCATTATATTAATTTTTCGTTCTTCCGATGTTTTTTTCAAGTAAATCAACATTGCTTTTACTAAAAAAATATTTTTGATCGGTGACCCACTACATCTGATAAAATTTTCCAACACTGAGCAATCATCAACCATCCATGAGAGAAACGCTGAATGGAGCACAACATCTGAAATGAAATTTCTAAAAAAATATTCAAGTGAATTTGCTGAATAATTTTTATATTTTTTCAAGGTAACCATCAACTTAGAACGAATACAAAATTCGTTACTTCCACCACTACAGAGGCCGCATATTTTTCCAAATATGATTGAAAAGGATTAATTATTCCAAACACTAAATGATTTGAAGAGTTCAACAGATCACCCAAAACTTCGAAAATATAAGAAAAATATTCTTAGCAAAGTTAGAAATGTCCTAAAAATCAGTTTAACAGATTTCTTTCCTTATTATTCCTTGCCGTTCAAAAAATTAATTATTCATAAAAAAATGACAGCCCAACTGCACTGAAAAATGAAAAATGAAAAATTTCTTACCACCGGTGGATGCGACATGAGACAAAAAGATAAAAAGAACGTTCAATTGTTTCGCTTGCTTCAGAAAATCAAAAGCGCAACTTTTGAAAAATTCACAAATAGGATTGCTTATTGATGACCATGGAAGATCTGATATCGCAATTAGGCGTTCTAATAACCCTTCCAAGATGTAAGAACTAACACTAAAAAATACACAATATTCCAAATTACCAATAAAATCGAATTCATTCACCAAAATGATAAATTCAAATAGAAAATAAGTTTTTGAAAAAATAACCACTTAATGTTTTATGTTAAAAGAATGAAATATTCGAATAAAAAAGTAATTCCAAATATAAAATTTTGCAAAAACCTGTTATTCGCATCTTCATCAACACAACCAAAGATTATAGCATGTAATAGTTTTTTGGTTAAATATTGAAGTTGACGAGGCGCGATCTCCAAACCATTCTTTACGATTATGTTTTCACAGCTTTGTTGTATTTCTTTCGAATATATTTCACAACACTGCAGAGTAGCAATCCAATCTATATAATTACATATTTCTTCCTTGGAGCTGCAAACTTATAATTCGATTTATATATCCGACTTTCGACAGTTATATAAAGAGTAATAGTTTAGAATAAATTTAGTACTACCCTTCCTAAATATTATTGATTAATAAGTAAATTAAATTATTATTGCACCAACACCACAAAATTGCTAATGAAAAAAAAATTAAAAGCTATATTATAACTATATTTACTGAAAATTTTCGTCCATGAAGAAAACTGAAAAATAGTACTAGAATAGTAAAAATAGATATACAATAAATAGATAGATATAGATATAAATATAAAATAGATATAGATATAGATATTGTCGGGAAACCGAAAGGAAATTAATTCAATTTTATAAAATAACAAATAATAAAGCTACCAACGATTTCTTGTTTCTCACACTAAAGCTACCAACGATTTCCTGTTTCTCATCATGCCCTTTTTTATCACCCTATATAATGACGGCAATGCTTTGGAAGGAAAAAATTTTGGGGCTTCTTCTTTTCTTTGCTTTTCTTTTCTTTTCGCCGTTCCGTTGTAAAAATGCTTAATATTTCAATGCTGTTATATTTTATCTTCTATTTGGCTATTCAAGGTTGCTCCAAATACCTCTTAAATTCAACCGTAATTCAACTGTAACGAATTTCGCCTAATATCAAATTATTTTTAATAAACAAAAATTCGAATTATTAGTGTTTGTTAATCGCAAATCAAAGTTTCACAACAAATTTTTTGGTGCCACGAGCCGGGATGTCAACCAGCTTAATCAAAAGCGCTCAACCGACATTAGAGAAACTTGAGCTACTGCTCACCGAAATAAACGAATTGGATTTATCGGATTTATCGACGATCGATCAACAATTAACGCAGGAAGAAATGCGTCACCTATACGAAGTTCGAAAACGAACCATTGGAGAAAAATTGGAACGAATCGAGCAACATTAGCATTCTTGAAATTATCAACAATAATTGGCTCGACTATATCCAGAAAACGACAAATGCAGCAAGAAAAAAAGAAGAGGAAGAAATTTATATCGAAATGGCCGATCAAGAAAAGGGTATTTTAAGATTATCAAGTCAAGGTCGGGAAGTTAAAACTACTTTAAAGTTATATAATAAGGATCTTGAGATAGCCATTTGTAGCCTAACATCGGGACATATAAGTCAAGGCAATATAAAACAAGTATCTGCAATTGGCCCACAAATAACAGTGCACTTACCACAACTACAATTACCCACATTTAGTGGGGATCCTAAAACTTGGAGGCAATTCTGGAATAGTTTTGATGTAGCAGTGCATTTTCAAGCTATACCAGACGTTCAAAAAATAAACTATTTAATGTCCTGTTTAAGAGGAGAAGCTCTATTAGCTGTCAGGGGTTACGATATCGCCCCTCAAAATTACGACATCATTCGAAAGGTATTAATTGAAAAATTCGGTGAGGATTCTATTATCAAGAAATCCTTAAATGCCGAACTTCAATCTATCAAAAGAAGTGATCGAGATTGGAAAGTAACAATAGAAGCAATTGAAAGAATACTACGACAGCTAGAAGCGATCGGAGAAAATTTGGACCATTGTAGTATCGAAATTTCTATAGAAAGTAAACTACCTATTTGGATATTACACAAAGTTTATGAATAAAAGAAAAGAGGATCTTGGTCAATAACTCGATTCCGGCAAATATTAGGAGAATTAGTTCAAATAAATGAAGAAGTAGCTAGAAACCAATCCCTTAGCAATGAGAAGAAATCGATAGATTTCAAAAAAAAACGAGCATTACATAATAATAAAGGAGAAACCTCTGCGTTATCTACAATAAAACAATTCAAATCAACCAAATCAAGTGGTCAAGTTATCATGAGTCAACTACACAACCCAAGAAAATTGCTAGGGATAAAAGACCTTGTGCATTTTGTAACAAGGACCATTGGGATAACGAATGCTCCACGTATCCCACACTCCAACAGAGAATGGAATATCTAAGAAAAAATAACGCATGTCTTAATTGCTTTCGAACGGGGCACGCAACAAATAATTGTAACAAAAAGAAACGCTCATGTTTTCATTGCAAGAATCCTCACAACACTGCGCTGTGTTATATGAAATATGGTATGCAAACTGCCGAATCAAAGAACTTAGCAAACGTAATTAATTCAATAGCTCAATCAATACATCAACAAGGTCAGGAAATTTTGCTTTTATGTAAAGAAATTGAAATAGTCAATCCGATCATGCCAGAAAATCATGAAAAAATCTTAGTATTATTTGATATAGGATCACAGTCATCCTTTATATCGACAAAATTAGCAAACCGATTAAGGTTAGAAAGAAAAGAAACGGAAAATCTAAGTATTTCTTCATTTGGTAATAAATTCCCGAAGTTACATCAAACCTACTAAAGTGGATATCGGAGTAAAAACCGTCGACTCGGGAATTATAACTATTAATACTTATGTATTAGACTACCTGACGGACAAACTAAAGGTAATTAAATCAAACTATCAAGATTTACCGCACATAATAAGTCTAGAACAACTAGACCACGGAGGAGATTGGAAAAGACCCGACATACTTATTGGAGCCGACTACTTCTTTGACTTTATGTCACCATATGAATTCTACAAGACGTCATCAGGGTTCTACGTAATTCTCACAATGGTTGGTCCTATAGTTACTGGAATTGGATACATTAACAACTATTGTAGTAGTAAGACTTCAGACAGAATAGACAAAACTTCTGTTGAGGACAAAACAATGAAAGTAGGTAATGTCACTATGACTTCAGATATAGAACAATTTTGGAAGCTTGAACTGATAGGTATACAAGAACAACCAAATGCCTGTGATGATGAAAAGGCATTAGAACAATTTAAAAAAGGAATCACAAAAAGAAACAACAGATATCAAGTTTGTTGGCCCTGGAGGGATTCAAAGGTGAATTTAAACGATAATTACGGTCTTTGTTTCGGAAAGCTGAAAACATTAGTTAAACGACTTCGGACTGACAAACTACTATTTAATCAATACAATGAAGTAATTCTGGAACAAATGCAATCCAATATAATTGAAGTGACTCCAAACATGAATCAGGGTGGTGTTATATATTATTTGCCCCATCACGAAGTATTAACACCGGGTAAATCGACAACGAAATTAAGAATTGTTTATGACGCTTCAGCCCGACTAAAAAGTATGAAAAGCTTAAATGATGTTTTATACCGTGGCCCGATTACCCTCCCCGACTTGGTAGATGTATTACTTCGTTTTAGGAAGATGGAAAATGTTATAATAGCCGATATTGAAAAGGCATTCTTGCAATTGGAATTATTACCATCAGAGCGAAACTGCACTCGATTCTTATGGTTGAAGAATATTCAAGCAGAAGTAACTGACGACAATATAGTATGTTATCGTTTCCAAAGAGTTCCATTTGGAATCATATCCCCATTTTTACTTTCAGCGACTCTTAATTATCATTTAGAAACTCATGGAAGCGAAATTGCCCTGGAAATTAGAAAAAATCTCTATGTCGATAACATTATACTGCCAACTAAAGGAACCGAGGAAGCACTCAAAAACTATGAAAAAATGAATCAGGCATGATCAAGCAGAGGTAAACCAATTAAAAAGAATCCTCGGCATTAATTGGAATCCCAAAAAAGATATCATCCAAATCATTTTAAAACCATGGAATGGAATAAAACTGACAAAACGAACAATTACAATTTATAGCAGCTCAGTATGATCCATTAGGATTCCTTGTTCCGACTATGATGCAATTCAAACTATTCCTTCAACATTTATGAATTCAAACTATTCCTTCAACATTTATGGAAAAGGAACTACACTTGGGATCAATCTATAAATGAAGAAGGTGAAAATTTGGAAATGTCTGATAAAAGAATGGTCAACAAACGTAAAGGAACTACCACGGTGTGTAATACATCCCTCAAAACAAATGCAGTTCCATGTTTTCATAGACGCGTCAATCTGGCCTATTCTGTAGCTATATATGTACGAAACTATGGAATTCAAGGTGTTAAAACATCGCTTATATTCGCAAAATCACGGATCGCACCAAATAAAGGTATCACCATACCCCGATTGTAATTATTGGCAATAATCGTTGGATTAAGAGCAGCCCATTTTGTTATAAATCAACTGAATCTAGAAAAGGTGCCAGTTACTCTATGGTCTGACTCGAAGTGCGCATTACATTGGATATAGAACTGTTCCCGACTACTGCCAAAATTTATACAGAATCGAGTAGAAGAAATAAGAAAGGCAAAGTTTCTATTTCGTTATATTCCAAGTAAGTATAATCCAGTCGATATTGCAACAAAGGGACTTTCTTCAGCAAAACTTGGAAATTATGAAACATGGTGGAACGGACCGTCATGGTTAGTAAAACAAGAAACGAACTGGCCGCAATGGGAATACAATTTTGAAGGGGAATACGAAAATGAAGAAGGAAACGAAATCTCCGTAGCAAAGGTTACAAAACAAGTTATTATAAATAAAACTTTTAAACTTATAGACGCGAGCCGTTTTAGTAAATGGTCAAGATTATTGAGAACTACTGCATGGGCGTTGAAATTCATAAATTCCATAACAAAGAGGAAACTTTCATGGTTATACTCCTTATCGGATGTAGGAAGTCAACTAACAGTAGCAGATCTTATATTAGCAAATATAGTCTTGATCAAGCAAGCGCAATCAGAAGGAATAACTGAAGAAGAAATAAACACATGGAATCTGTACTAAGATGAAAGGGACGGTTATTGGAAATTCAGAAGCCGATTAGACAATTTAAAACAGCATGAAAATAATTTGCATTTAATCTATCTCCCGAGACATAATCACATAATTGAAATTTTTATACAACGCCAACATGAGAAACTCTACCATGCAGCTATTGCTCACACGCTCTCAGAAATGAGAACAGAATATTGGATACCCAAAGGGAGAACTGAAGTCAAGCGAGTATTAAACAAATGCAGAAGCTGTAAAAGATGGAAGAAAAAACCATTTAAGTTACCAATTATGCCTAATCTTCCAAAAACCCGAATTGAACGTACTCGAACATTGAAAATATTGGATTGGACTATCTTGGTCCTCTTTCTATCAAAAATGAAACTGGGATTGTCAAAAGATGGGTGGCTCTTTTTACATGTTTTACGACAAGAGCAATACATTTAGAATTGGTAGATAATTTATCTGCCGAAAGTTTTATACACGTACTAAGAAGATTTATTGCTAGAAGAGGCCTCCCTAGATTAGTTTTAAGTGATAATGCTAGTCAATTTCAACTAGTTTTCAAGACCATTATGGAACAAAATACCAAATTCACTGACTTTCTAACAATGAAAGGAATGACCTGGAAGAATACCACACCAAGAGCACCATGGGAAGGAGGCATATATGAAAGAATGATTGGTTTTACAAAGACAGCTATGAGAAGAGCTATTGGAAGGAAGCTATTATGGGAAAAAGAATTAATTACACTTATAGTAGAAATAGAAGGTGTATTAAATACCCGAGCACTAACATATGTAAACTTCGAAGATTACGTGATAATACGACCGATTGATTTCATTTTACCTAATGCTTCTCTAGTAACTCAAATTCCTTATGACAATGATGAAGAAGAATACCATCTTCATAGATAAGTACCAAGGAAAAACTTGTTAGGTATTGGTCTAACACTCTCAAGACTTTAGACACATTCTGGGAAATATGGAAAAGGGAGTATTTAACTAGCCTCAGAGAGCTAACTCAAAGAGAACACAATTCCCCGAAAGGTGCAGAAGTAAGAAAACCTTATGAAAACGAAATCGTGTTGGTCAACGAACCAGAAATTCCTCGTGGTATGTGGAAATTAGCGAGAATAAAAGAAATTAAAAGGGGAAGCGATGGAGAGGCCAGGAACGCTATAATAGAAATGCCACATGGAAAACTGCTAAGTCGACCAATAAACGTACTGTACTCTCTAGAAATCAACGACAATTTGGATAATCAGCCACCTATATCTGAAGAATCAATACAAGAAGTTGGACAATAGGAACCAATCGCTTCAAGGACTAGGAGTGCAACAAATAAACGAACTATAGCAGAAACTATCTGTAAGTCAAATTGGACAATAAGCAGTTTGGTTTTGATTTCGATCATTTTTATACTATCAGTCCAAGCAAAACCAATGAAGGAGTGTGAATGGAGAGTTGGTATTCCTTTTAATATCCCACAAAGGTGGAATTGCGATGAAATTTGCAGAGCAAAACTTCACAATGAACAAAGTCATAGTGTACACACGAACCCACGTACGGATACCTGCTATCAAATGTAGCAATGTAACACGAACAGTAGTATGCACTAAAGCTTTTTTTAGATTCTCATTATCTGTAATCTCTGATCAAACAGTTACTTCACATTTCTGTAGAAATTTAGATCGTCAAAAGAAAACAGACGGAGAGGAATTGATTCAAGTATCACCTAATAAATGGATTACAAATAACGAA